GGGATATTTTATAGTTGGGGACAGAATCCAGGTCTTGGCTTGCAGTTGCCCAGGCCTAACCATTGTTCACAGTTGTCTGGGGCCTGCCCTTCCTCTACCAGCTAGAAGGAGGGTCAAAAGTCCAGCTTGTTCTGCATGCTCTGCCCCTCCCCTTCCTGTTCCTCAGCCCAGGATTGCTTCCAGAACAGTTTTTTGTCTGGAGGGAGCAAAGGAAATGGGAAAGAGCTGGAAGGCACCTCTGTCATCCACATTTGCCTGGGGTTCAGGAGTTGCAACCTCTTCTGGTTTTGTGTGTGTGTGTGTGTGCGCGCGCATGTGTGGGGAGGGCGGGGAGGGGATGACTCCATGTCTCCCTCAAGAGGGACTCAGTTGAGGGCAGGGGTAGTTTTAATTGCGTTCAGTTTCCCATTTTTATAGCCTCCAGTATTCAGACTTCTTGTTCAGATGGGACACAACCTGTCTCAACACTGGCATCCAGCAAAGGGAAGAGAGGGGTGTGCTAGCTTTTACTACCTCCCTCTGTGCCCCTTCAAACCAAACAGGTGAACTTGCACAGTGCTTAGGGATTTATCACTTGGACTCAGACAGGCAGTGGGGGCTAGCGGGGGGAGTCAGGGTAGATTTATTGCTGGGGTCCCCTGTATAGAACCTGAACCTGTATCTAGCCCATCCACCCCTGATGTTTTTAGCTGCTCTTCTCTCTTTTTAATTTTATTTTAATTTTATTTTATTTTGATGGTTCCGTTATGGTTTCTCACTATGTCACAATTGCTTTTTTTCCAAACCGGGGAAGAGAGAGAATGGGGGAGGGAAAATATCTGTAAAGCAATATTTTTTTCATGTCATATGCCAAAAATTGTAGAGGTTCACCAAACCCCGCTCCTTCTCCCCCCATGAAAGTCTCACAAAAATACAGTGACATTTCCAGGCACTACTTGACTCTTTCTTTATGGCAATATCTCATGTGGCCTCCCACAGAGCCACACTTTTGTTTTTTTATTATGATTAGCCAGTTTAAAACAAGGAATAAAAGAGTATCTAATGAGCCACCCCTTCAGGCTTCTGTGCTTGTTTCTTTGTCCCCAGATGGAGGGAATAGAGGGCGGAGGGAGTGTCTACATCAGCTCCTGTGTTTCCTATGACACCATCCAAAAAAACTGCAACAACTTGTCCTAAGTCCTCAAGTGCCAGAAGGTTAACATAATTGAAGATGGGGCTCCTCTGCCAAGAGAGGTGTGACCAAGAACAGATCCTTGCAGTTCATTTTAAGCTATGCCAGCATGGGGGTGAAAGCCAGCTTGCTGAAATGGCCTGGTGATCTTCCTCTATAGTCAGGTCCTTCTACCTGATGGCAGGTGAGCAATGAGAAGGCAAAGTGACTTTGGGAGCTACCAGCTAGGTAACGTTCTCAAGTAAAGGGAACCCTGTGAGGGCAGCTAGAGCTGGGATGCTTGGCAAGTAGCTGTGCCTGAGCTCCTTGTGGGGTTGAAGGCCTGGGTTTAATGGTAATGATTTAGCCTCCCACTTCCCAGCTCCACATTTTCTTGTTTCATCACAGGAATGAAGCAAAGCTTTACCCTTCCCCTCCTGGAGGCCACTTAGTCTAATCACAGCTAGATCTTTAAACGTGCCTGGCATATCCAGTGAGTTCTCCTGCGACCAAATGCATGTGCCTTGGGTTTGGTCCCTGGTAGCAAGTCCCTGGGAAGTAGCACAAAATTCCTGTGCGGAGAGCCAGGCACATGACTGTGTGCATGCTGGGAGGACTTAGATGCCATCCAGAAGCTTTTGTTTTGGAGGCCAAGATCAAAGGCTGCCTGCCTCCAGGACCCAGTCCCAACCCTCTGGGCCCCTCAGCATTCCAGAAGGCTATAGATCAATGTCCTTGAAACTCTTCCTCCTATCAAGCTTGTCAGTTCAGCTTGACTAGCTGCAGAGCCACTTCCTCCTGCCAATGAAACTCCTGAGCCTTAGCCTCTGTCCTAGAGGGCATATCAACCTGGCTCTTGCTGATAGATTAAAAAAAAAAAAGCCTTAGCACTCCTAGTCTTCTGTGGCCTCCAACTCTTGGGAGTTCAAACCAGTCACAGGTGCTGATCTGTTAGCAGAAGGTGTTACGAGGCTTGTGTTAACCTGGTCCTGGCCAGGTCTCTGATTCCTGCCAGAAAGGCGGTACCACAAATGCAAGTTGGGCTCTTTCTGGGATTGCCATGGTACCATGAGCATTCAGAAACCAAACGCCTCTTTTCTTTTTTTTTAAAGCCAGTTGAAAGCTGTGATAGTAAGAGACACAAACATACAACCATGATATTTTTATCAGCCAAAGTGACTAGTTGTTTTGGGGGTGCAACCAAAAAGGGCCATTTCAGAAAGGCTAAGCATTAGCCCTGCAAAAATCAGGCCCCTTTAAACATGTCTCAGGGTGGACTCCCAAAACGACTAGACCAACATTCTCCAAAGTTACAAGTATTAAAAAGGGAATATTTAATTTCAACACTATAATAGTTTCACTTCTAAACTTTGACTGGCTGTTTTGTTTAATATACATGTATTGCCTTTAATTTTGGTATCTCGGTGTATTTTCTTCCAAGGGATAATGTTATGGTAAACTGGGGAAATACCAATATATGTATCCATTGGCAATAAAATATTTTGGTAAAGTAGAGATCTATGGTTTTTTGAGAATATTGTACAAAGGAGGGTTGAAAGGAAAAAATGTATGCTTCTTCTGATCAAATTTATGGAAGTGTAAGAGTTATCTGAAGATTGATAAGCGTGAGTTGATGTGTATGATCCGTGTTTTCAGAACAGTTTTGTGCGTATGTTTGAAACCTTTGGCCTTGAGGATTTGCTTTGGATCAGTGTTGACAAAATCATGTTGTAGTGATCTTGTAGGCAGTGTAAAATTGAGGTCTAATAATTTTGTTGCTTTTAAACACTTGTACATTTGTCCTTTTTTTTTTTTCAAATTATTGGACAAGCCTGTATACATTGTCAGTTAGCTACTTCAACAGGCTTGGAAACAAAGAGCTTTTATGACATTTCCAATTTTTTTTTTCAAAAAGCATTTCCAATATGCATGAGTGAAGGAAGAATTTGACGTTTATCATTTTAAATGGGTGGAATAATGGATCAATAAATGAAAGTGCTCTGGGAGGAGTTGCTAATGGCTTCTGAGGCTAATGCTTTCTGTACCTGCTGCCATCCAGCTGAGTTACTGTCCACTTGAAATGGGAAAATGCTGAATGAGGTAGCCATTTCATTGTCATCTTGAAAACTAGAATTTAGCTCTCCAGCCATTGCCTTTCCACTAAGTTACCATTAAGCACATAGTTCAAAGGGAGTAACCAATAATGGTTTGATTTTTCCTGTTTCCATATGTAGCTCTATCAAGGTGTACTGGCATTGTTAGCCCAAGTACAGAGCCTAAGATGGTACCCAGCAAAGTGGATTTCTGGAGTGGTGTCTTGAACATCTCTGTTGCCATAAACAAAATAATCTTTGAGTTATGACAGTTAAGAGGATGAGCTTTGGATCTAACCACTGAGATCCTGGCCCTCTCTTCCCTGTGCTATCACAAACCAACTGTGAGTGTTAAGCCCTTTTCATTCTTTCTTTACTGTGTCTTGGAAATGGATTCATGCTCATTCCTTTTGGGCCAAAGAGGAACATACAGTAAGAGGAGATCAGGTGCTTGTGTTCCACTTTCTTTACCTCAGGCAGGGCTGGAGGAGAACTTTCTCTCGCATGATTTTTCTCTGGCTTCATGGACTCAAAATCCATGTCTAATTTTTATAAAAACTTAATTTTTTTTGACAGTCTTGCTTTTAAACTCAGCCCCTTCCATGAGCCATGGTCAGCCTACTGTGGGCTCCAGTTGGGTTACGTAATGTGACTGGCTTGTGGAAGAGATGAATGTGTTAAACACTGCAAAAAGGTAAAATAAAGGGTGCTCCATTGACAGCATGTTCTCCTAATCCACTTGGTTGAAAGTTTGGAATGTGTTTTCATTGTCAGGCTTGCCACTCAGAATTTGAAAGCATGAAGTTACTTTCCTTTGGAATTAAAAGGGGTTAGACCAGTGATTCTTAAGCAGGGTGCCTCAAGATCTCTTTAACGGTGCCACCACTTGGCCTCTGCATGAGGAATTAAATACTCTCTCTACCTGTCTGGCAACCTGCACCTACTCCTGCAGCTGTTTCTTGAGAACTGCTGCCACTGCTTCCCTCCTGCCCACACTCCCAGTAGTTCCTGTGTTGGCTGCCTCCACACTCCCAGCAGCACACTGCTGCAGGCAGGTAGGTGGACACAGGGCCAGA